TAGGGATTTTAATTAAAGCTTTTTTAAGCGGAGCGAAATTAGGAAATTTATATTAACTTTAGAAGCTTTCATGACTTTTTAAGATCTTCTGTAAAATCGCCTGGGTCCAATTTTCTTTTACTTTGTGTAGTTTTGATGTTATGATTTAATTAATTAATTTTTTTGCGGATTTATACACGTGAAAATACCTGGTTTATTTATTTGACCAATGCATTTCCATGAATTTTCCAGTCGACTGGATGCATTTTTTAAAAATTATTTTTATTGAGATTGCACTCAAAAACTGCAATGAAATAATTAAGATGAGCAGAACTAGGGAATTTATACTAACTATAGAATTTTTGAAGACTTAAGGATTTGTCGCCTAGATCGTGTTTTCTTTTACTTTGTGTAGTTTTGATGTTTTATGAAGATGTTGACATCTGTATAATTTAACTAGATTAACTAGAAATTGCACTAAAAAAGAGCAATGAAATAATTAATGAAATTTAGATTAACTATAGAATTTTTCAAAAGTTTTTGAGAGTTTCGTAACATCACCTGGGTCGTGTATTCTTTTACTCTGCGTAGTTTTGATGTTTTATGAAGATGTTGACATCTGTATAGTTTAGCTAGATTATGAAGGTGACAGATGAATGAGCACCAAAATATGGTAGTTTAATTGGAAACATTTTCCTTTTTTTATTAATTTTTTACATTTTATTTTCAGCTATACTGAAGCAAACTACTCCTTTATTTTTATTTTTGTATGAAAACCTAAATATTTATCTCTTGAATATGTTGCCAACTTCATTATACTGCACACCACATTTTTCGTTTATGAAAAAAATTATTCAAATCTTCCATTATTTTTTTCTCTCAAATTCTCTCTAATAACCCTCATAAAAATACCAGATTTATTTATTTGACCAATGCATTTCCATGACTTTTCTGGACACCTGGGAGGATTTCTAAAAATCATTTTAAATAGAGTACACTCAAAAAGAGCAATGCAATAATTAAGCTGAGCAGAACTAGGCGATTTAGATTAAAATGTAAGACTTTAGTCATTTTCATAACTGTTTCTAAAGGTATTGGAAATACCCAGGTTTTCATGACTGAAGATGATTTTAACATGTAACTGCTTGTTAATCATATTTACTCTGGTAAAGATTTGAAATATTCTGAATGCAACGTCGCTCTAGCATCATTTTCAAAAAGACAAACACAATAATTCCACAGAAAATGTTGTTTAATCTACTCTTCGGCTAAATAAAGATCTAGATAAAGATTGTCACATTTTCACAGCACAAACAAACAGGCACAAATGTCTAATGTGCCCGAGAAGAAAGAAAGAAAGAAAGAAAGAAAGAAAGAAAGAAAGCACAAAAACACACAAACAAACAGAGAATCCAAATAAATTACCAAAGAATTCAGGCAAAATCAACTCAAACAGATTGTCATCTACATTCACTAGAGGACTTACAATGAAGCTTTTGTTTCCTATAAAATATGTTTTTGTTTATCAAAAAAATTATATTGCATCTAATGGCACTTCTACAAAGTCTATTAAAAAGTCTCAACTTAGTATCATCAACTCAAAATTCTGATACAGTCACATTTTGCACAAGAAACAAATCAATAAATATTACTTACGATTATACAGTTTCACAGTCTGAACCTTTAGAAGACAATAATGCGGTATTACTGTATATATACAGCTGTTATTCAGCAGACTGAACTGAGAAACACCTCCAACGTGTTCAAAGAGACATTAAATCTGACCGCAGAAACGTATTATTGCATTCATATCTAGGCTTTTATGAATGTTGAACAGCATCAGAAATGTGACTCTCGATTGAGGAACAGCGTCAGTGTACATACGATCGTCAAAATGAGAAAAGATGTATTAAAAAACATTCAAATGCACACAAATCATGTAAATAACCAGCATGTGAAATCTTCCGTTAGCCCACAAACTCCAGTGTGACATAATTTGCACAGAACTGAAAACGTAAAAAAACCAACAAAATGTGCAATAAAATGAATCATGATGCAGATATGCAACCGAATATGATGCACGCTTGCTTTAATAAATGCATCATCCGAAATATCATAACTGTGGGTGTTTCAGGTAGATTATTAGTCTGCATGTCGTTCGGATGTTTGGATGCTTGAGAAACAAACCTTCTACAAAGTCTATTAAAAAGTCTCAACTTAGTATCATCAACTCAAAATTCTGATACAGTCACATTTTGCACAAGAAACAAATCAATAAATATTACTTACGATTATACAGTTTCACAGTCTGAACCTTTAGAAGACAATAATGCGGTATTACTGTATATATACAGCTGTTATTCAGCAGACTGAACTGAGAAACACCTCCAACGTGTTCAAAGAGACATTAAATCTGACCGCAGAAACGTATTATTGCATTCATATCTAGGCTTTTATGAATGTTGAACAGCATCAGAAATGTGACTCTCGATTGAGGAACAGCGTCAGTGTACATACGATCGTCAAAATGAGAAAAGATGTATTAAAAAACATTCAAATGCACACAAATCATGTAAATAACCAGCATGTGAAATCTTCCGTTAGCCCACAAACTCCAGTGTGACATAATTTGCACAGAACTGAAAACGTAAAAAACAAAACAAAATGTGCAATAAAATGAATCATGATGCAGATATGCAACCGAATATGATGCACGCTTGCTTTAATTAATGCATCATCCGAAATATCATAACTGTGGGTGTTTCAGGTAGATTATTAGTCTGCATGTCGTTTGGATGTTTGGATGCTTGAGAAACAAACCGTTTTTAACCTTTTAAGCGATTTTTAACTTGAAGACTGTGAAAAACTGCAGCTTTTACCAGAGATTTCAGTCATACTACATCCTAAACTAAATATGACAATGATTTGATCAATAAAATACATATTTACAATAAATACACAGTTAGAAATAGCAGCCTACGGTATATGAGTGTTGCATCTATCCATGAAATCAGGTTCTCACATACAGCAACTGATCGATTATCCCAACATTAGAGAGCAAATATCAGCTTTAAACATCAAGTCTAGAGTAAACCCTGAACCAAAACCAGCTAATAAATAACTATCAAGTTTATCAGGACCGATGAAGCGTACAGCATGACGAGGGTTTTTAGTGCTAGTTACTGTTACAACATAAACAATCGATCAAATGAGCAGAAAATAATCAAGAAAACAGCTGTGAAACGTTTCTGAGATTCAGTCAGCAGTGGTTCAACCATATTTCTGTTCGCAGAAAGAAGAGAGAGAGAGAGAGACGTGAAATAAAACAACAAATGCTTCACCAGAACTTAGTGTTCTTCTGATATTAGTTTAAACTTAACTAGTCCTTCATGTCTTCTTAAACCCAGACCACCGTCAAAGCGCTGATCTGACGAGGGTTGATTCAAATCCAGTTCTCGACTAGAAAGAAAACACGTAATCCTGACCGAGAGCCAGTAGCTTTAAAAGGCGACGTCGCTTTAAATGCCAAGTGCTTCAGTGAAACATTTCAGTGACGAAGCCCTTCGGGAGACGAGAACACACCAAACTCTAACAGCATAAACACAATCTGCCCGTCTGTACTTCAGATAAACAGTGAAATCATAAGCATACAGTACGTCTCTGTCATGATGCGCAAATGATTTGTAATAAATTACAGCAGATACAAAAAGCATATCTTCTGGACGGAGCTGCAGAACTGGTTTATCAGTGCACTGCATTTATATACAGTATATATGTATTTTTTACTGTTCATCAACAATTTGATGTATTTGGGACTTTGACACTGTTTTTTAACTGTTATTTATATCATATACATGCACTTTTGAACTGTTCTATATACTATATATGTGTGTGTGTGTGTGTGTGTGTGAGACCCTGGACCACAAAACCAGTCTTAAGTGTCAATTTTTCAAAATTTTCATCTGAAAGCTGAATAAATAAGCTTTCCATTGATGTATGGTTTGTTAGGATCGGACAATATTTGAAAATCTGGAATCTGAGGGTGCAAAAAAATCTAAATATTGAGAAAATCATCTTTAAAGTTGTCCAAATTAAGTTCTTAGCAATGCATATCACTAATCAAACATTAAGTATTGATATATTTATTGATTAAGTCCCAAGTTTATCAAATTGTTGATTGCTGAGGACACAAATGTGTTTTACAGCCATTAATGAACGATTACGCAGAAAAACTATGAAATCATGAACATACAGTGCTTTAAAACTTTCTCTGTCATGGCGCTCAAATGATTTGTAATAAATTACAGCAGATACAAAAGCAAATCTTCTGGACGGAGCTGCAGAACTGTTTAATCAGTGCACTGCATTCATATATATATATATATGTATAAATTTATTTTTTAATGTTCATCAATATTTTGATGCATCTGAGACTTTGACATCGTGTATGTGTGTAGTATATAGTGTGTGTGTGTGTGTATATATATATATATATATATATATATATATATAAACTGTTTTATATACACATATTTAAGTATATGTGTGTGTAAAATATATAAGATAATATATATTTTAATGTATATATCAGTTAAAAAACATTTATTTATGAAATATACAATATAGTTTAATTATATTTCAATATATTTAACACACACACGACCCTGGAGCACAAAACCAGTCATAAGGGTCAATTTTTCGAAATTGAGATTTATGCATCATCTGAAAGCTGAATAAATAAGCTTTCCATTGATGTATGGTTTGTTAGGATCGGACAATATTTGAAAATCTGGAATCTGAGGGTGCAAAAAAATCTAAATATTGAGAAAATCATCTTTAAAGTTGTTTGAATGAAGTTCTTAGCAATGCATATTACTAATCAAACATTAAGTTTTGATATATTTACGGTAGGAGATTTACTAAATATCTTCATGGAACATAATCTTTACTTAATATCCTAATGATTTTTGGCATAAAAGAAAAATGTATAATTGTGACCCATACAATGTATTGTTGGCTATTGCTACAAATATCCCCCAGCGACTTAACACTGCTTCTGTGCTGCAGGGTCAGATATATGATGTCAAAAACGCAAGTGCATCAAACTGTTGATTGCTGGAGACACAATAGTGTTTTACAGTCATTAATGAACCAATTTTCTGCCACCTGCAAAATACTGGATATTATTGTTATTATTATTCTTCATAAAAACTGCTGTTGTTTTTATACAAAAGGCCTTGATTGCACCGTGTTTGCCCCGACTTCATCCTATAGCGAGCGTCTTGACAAGGCCGCAGTGGAACTTGCGTATGTGTCGGTACAGATCGCCGGACTGTGTGAAGCGCCGCTCGCACCACTTACACGCGTGTGGTTTCTCTCGCGTGTGCACCACGGCGTGCCGGCTCAGATTGTGTGAGTACTGGAAGCTCTTCCCGCACTGTCCGCAGGTGTACGGCTTTTCGCCGGAGTGCGTGCGCTCGTGCCGCTTGAGCGTGTACATGCAGGAGAAGGTCTTGCCGCACTGCGAGCAGGTCGGGACGGAGCCGTCAGGCGAGAGCTTTGAGCGAATGCCGTCTTTCTCCTTGAAGTGCGAGCTGAGGTGGAGCTGGAGCACATGTGCGCTCGGGAAGACCTTGCTGCAGAGCGGACACATGCAGACCTGCGGGAGATGAACCCCGCTGGATGTAGAGATGTCTGAGGATGCCAGGTCGTCTTCATCCTCGCCCTCGCTGTCCCTGAGATGATGCTCCGAACGCACACGCAGCCCACTCTCCTCCTCCATCAGGTCATCGTCCGGAGGGAGCAGCGAAGCTGCGGCCTTGTTGTCGGGGAAAAGGGCAGCGAACCCTGTCACCACCGAGCTCCTGGCGCTATTCCCAAAGCGCTGGCTCTCTGGGCTCACCGGATCACCGTCCTCCTGCTCTGACAGCAAGTCATGTTCGTCTTTAACAAGTGGCTCGGTGCCCTGCTGCTGGCTGTCGAGGGCCAGCTGTCCCGAGACGTAGGAGGGGTGGAAGGCATCTCGACTCGACAGAGGCTTGAAAGACAAATCCAGCGCGCGGTCCGTGTCATCCGACACCCGGGACCTCTGGGACACGGGGACGGCCGAACTACTGACATCAGCTTTTGTTTTTCCAGCTGTTCGGACACAGGCCTCGGCCTCTGCTGACACATAATTGACACCTACAAGGTCCGGGGACCCGTCGGGGTGACCGTTCGCCTTCTGCCCACCACAATCTGTGTCATTCACCGCCTCGCACACCTCCTTATCCTTCAGCTTTCCTTTGCACACCTTCACGATGTCGTACATGTGCAGATAGCTGGCGGCTGCCAGGACGTCTTCCACCCAGACAGCGGCGCATTACGCGGAACTTTTACGCGCTTTTCCTCCTCCTTTAACGTCTTATTTCACGCCTCGTAAGCTGATGCGCTGAGCTGCATTAGAAACTCCGGTCTCGTGAGGAGCGTGTGTCACATTCAGGTCCGCGTCAGAGCGCGCACTCACCGCTGTGTGCTCAGATGGAGCCGCGAGCTCTCGTGGTGTGTGTCCAGATGTTGAGTCTGTGTTTCCGCTCCTCGGCGCGATTCGAGTCCGGTGCGCGTGAAGACCTGCGCTGGGTGTGTGTTCGTGTGTGTGTGTGTGTGTGTGTGTGTCGAGCAGGTTGTTAATGGTCCAGTCTCGCGATAACACCAGTGTACTGTACTTCAGGACAAGCTCACACTGGGGCAGTAAGTAGCAGCGTTCACTTAAAAGACAGCTGTGTTACTCGTTCTGCATTTATTAAAGACCATTCGTTTTTGTTATATTGAGAAAAAATAAATATTATAATGTATATATAGTATATTATAAACATAAAGTTAAAATTGCAATATATATATATATATGTATATATGTGTATATAGAGAGAGAGAGAGAGAGAGAGCAAAAAAAAGTATTTGTTGCTTTGAATAAAAGCATCTGCTAAATGCATACATGTCAATATAAAATTTTTCTTTTTTTTATGTTTTGGGGGTTGCAATATTTTAGCACACGTTGCAATATCTGCCTTAATTTTATTTTAATACGTTTTATATCTTGAGGCTGTGTGTTTAAAAATCTATACTTTTTCTATTTTTTATTTTTGGGGGTTTAATTACAAGCTTGATTTCAAAATTATGCGTGCATTTTATATCTTGGGGCTGTTAAAAATATCCAAAATCTATTATTTAATATTTTTTATTTATTTACAGTACTTTTTATGTTTTGGGGTTTATTCACAAGTTACAATATCTGAATGTCTTAATATGCGATAATAATAATTTTTATATTCACTGATGTTTATGGGTTAATTTCAAAATGATAAATGCATTTTATATCTTGAGGTTGTGAGTTTAAATTAAATCTATCACTTAGTCATGATTTTTTCAAATTTACTTAATAAACGGTTTTAAATCTGACATTTAACTTGTGCAATTTTTTGGTTAGAAGAAAAGCTGAAAATAAGAGGCATTTGCAAACACAAAGTGAGGTGAAGAGGAACTTAAACTAAAGAGTGTCACTATAAAACTGTTCTCTTTCTCTAGAAAAGGAAGTGTTTTTTGGAGAGGGCTCTAGATGCTAAAGTTATTTTTTAAGATTGCAAATTGCGATGATCCTCTCAGACCCGTCCAGCCTAAATGCATTCCACTCTTTCAATACATTAAGTGTATAATTAGAGCTCTTTTGAGAAGCCGCCCCTCCTCCTGTGGTCTTTGTTGAGAGCGCTGCTGTGTTGTGTGCTAGGAGAGCGTTTGCTGGGATCTGATCGAAGCTAATCCTGCTCTGAGCTGGAATGTCTTGGCACTACAGTCTTACTATTTTCACCTTGAAGTTACTCTGGTCTGCGAGGAGGGTGGGCGCGCTTTCATCTGAAATACATTAAGTGCATGAAGGATTATTTCTGAAGTCATTGGTTTCTATGTGAGGTTGTCAAACAAGAGAGCTTCAAACGTTTAAGACCAAGTTGAAAATCTGGGATTTTTAAAAAAAAATTAAACTGGAAATACAACACTGAAAATCAATTTAAAAAGGAATCTAATATTTGAATAATAAACTTGATTTAAATAAATACTTCTTATTTTTTATTCTTTCGAATACCTATGTGACTAATTAAATGTAAGTAATCTGTGTCACTAAAAATCTGGATTTTTAAAATGTATTTTTTTGTTAATTTACACTTGGAAATACAACAGTGAAAATCAATGAAAAATATCAGAATAATACACTTGGAAATTAGCCAAAAAAGGTAGGATTCTGACAAAAAAGAAGAAGAAAAAAGAAAATCATTTTAGAAAATAATTTTTTTTTAAATATTAAATATAATATTTATTAATATTTTTAATAATTTAGAAAATGTATATTTTTTAAATTAATAAATACTTCTCTTTTTTTATTCTTTCAAATTCGTACGTGACTAATCAAATGCAAATAATGAATTATATCGAAAATCTGGGAAAATCTAAATCTAACTTGTTTTTAATATTTTTTTAAAACTTGGAAATACAACAGTGAAAATCAATGAAAAATATCAGAATAATACACTTGGAAATTAGCCAAAAAAGGTAGGATTCTGACAAAAAAGAAGAAGAAAAAAGAAAATCATTTTAGAAAATAATTTTTTTTTAAATATTAAATATAATATTTATTAATATTTTTAATAATTTAGAAAATGTATATTTTTTAAATTAATAAATACTTCTCTTTTTTTATTCTTTCAAATTCGTACGTGACTAATCAAATGCAAATAATGAATTATATCGAAAATCTGGGAAAATCTAAATCTAACTTGTTTTTAATATTTTTTTAAAACTTGGAAATACAACAAAATCAATGCAAATATTCGAACTGGAAAGGATTCTGGAAAAATAAAATAAATATAAATAAAAAGTTATTTTTAAAAAATATTAAACTATTTTTTTATTTATTTATATTTTTACATTTCTATTCATGTGCCTCTTTGTATAGACAGTCAGATGTTCTTTCTTCCACAAAAGCTCAAGATGCTCTTTGGATGCGGTCTCAGATCAAGCTGGAGAGCATGAGCATCAGGTTTTGTTCATGCATCGAAAGAGACAGACAAAACACTGAGGCATTCCCAAATTCATGTCTGTTTATTTATAGCATGTTGGACAGATACAAAAAATCCAACCCCCTGTTCATCTTTAGCCTGCTTTATAACTTTTTAAGCCTTCAGTTAAATCAATTTATAGCACCTGCTAAATGGATACGTGTAAATGTGACTGAAACAAACCAGTCCATGTAGTGATTTTCACACAACAGAACTGCAGTTGACACATTTTGCGAGTAGAAGCAGCAGAAGAACATAGTTAGAGGGCTATTTTGGGATGGCTCTTCTATAAGAACACTCAAACTGTTGTTGATCCTGTAGGCGCAGTGCAGACGTGAGCAGGAGCTGCAGCTGCTCAACTCGTGCATGGCCTCTGCAACTGTTCAGGTCACCTTTTGCCCAAACTCCAGCTGTTCAACGCTTTGAAAGGGCCATTTGAAGCTTCTCTGAAGGACTGGTTAAGCAGGCTGTTCTTACAATGCTCTGAAGGTTTGGATTTCTCTTGTACTAGTTAATGTGGGCTGCTCTTTCAGACTGGAGACGGAATATATATCAAATTGTTTTATCACTCTTAAAAATACGATGCACAATTTTCGGTTTTCATTGCATGAAATTTTCTTCACACTAACACTTCACAGAACTGTTCATTTGGGAAACCAAAAATGGTTCTTCATATGAACAGATTTGGAGAATCCGTCACTTGCTCAGCAGTGTATGGGTGCCGTCAGAATGAGAGTCCAAACAGCTGATAA